TCGAGGATTTCCTCGACCGTTATTCACCCTGCTTCCGATGGTATGGTCACGTGGCTGTGGAGGCCCGATGAGGAAAGCGATAGACTTCGAAGCACAGGGCAGGTGACTGTGAGGAGCCTCGAAAAAAATGTGGAGGGACGTTATCAAGAAGGAACTAAGCGAAGTCATGGTCACGGCTGGAGACGTCTTGGACATCAAATTTGCGACGACTGCGACTACACGGAAGTAACTAGGGAGAAGAAGAACATAAGAAAAGCCATGGTGGTGTTTGTGGCGAGGGTTAATGCTCAGTCCTTACTACTATCCACTGAAGCAACTTGTCTCATTCTACGATCGCTCATAGATCGTTGTGGATTTCGTTACCTGTTATGGTTTTTCGAAATGGATTGCAAGACTTTCCACGAAAAAAAACGTGCTATCTTTCCTTCGAGAAAATCAATGATGTGCTTGTTGTCAATGCATGGGATGTGCCGTGACTAAAACAGCGCACATGAAAAATTCATTATAGCCGTCAGAGGAATTCGTCACTCGCTCTGCTGTGATGCAATCGGTTATCCTCCGTTTGAGAAAATCAGAAGCGAGTCAAATGCAGGCCACATACAACAAGTGACAAAGGCCTTTAAGCAAATCCGGTATCTAGTACAATAGTGATAGCTGGTAGTTGGTCAATGCGTGTTGTAATTAGTGACAGCTAATGAAGTACAACTGCAGCATTCTAATCACTTCATTGGCAGAAAACATGTACATTTTGTGAAGGCCGTCGTCACTTGTGATGTGTGGTCTGCAGTCGACGCGCTTCTGGTTTTCAAAGACTAATTGGTATAGCAACGTTGGTCCGCTTAGTTACTTGTCCAGTTTCCTTCCTGTCTAGGCTTCCATTTTTGCAAAGCACTGAAGTAAACGTTTTTCAATGTTCATTTTGAGCCGCCAATGCTGATTTTCGGTCGCTTCTTGTTGCGCATCAAAGATCAAAGCATCCAAGCAATGCAAAATCTTCAGCGGAGAAGCCATCTGAGGGTTGAATGGGTCTCCTCTTTCAACTCATCAACTATTCAGTATGCTGTGCAAACACCATAAATTGTCTGAATCCATGACAGTTTTCATAGAAATGTGTCCATCTCAAAATACGGGGATTTCTCTCCGAAGGTTGCACACACCGAGCAGCCGTAATCTTTTTGTTATGAAAAGGCTCCTGTGCAGGACAAGCCAAGGTCGGGAATTTCTTAAAGGGGGTTCGCATTTGTCCCAGTGAGAGGAGGAGGTGTAGCCAAAGTTAGCCGTCTGTGCGAACTATGCGAACGCGAGGGTCTCATTTGCAATTTTTTAGATGGGCCTCGTATCTGGGGAACCCCTTCTAAGGGTGAAGGTGGCAGGGTGCCGTATTGGGAGCTCTCTAATGGAGGGGCAGCCGTAAAATGCTTAAAAAAACGGTCCTAGTGGTGTTCTTTCCCATCCTCACCATCCCACAGGGGTCAGGTTATTCAAGTTGTCTGGGTCTGCTTGTCAGAATCATGGTTACTTATATACAAGCGATTTGACTTATAAAACGAGGTACAGATGAATACGTACAAGTCAATGTTTCTGTCCACCAAACAACTTTAGTGACACTTATTCATACATGGGCTAGCCCCTGTATTTTGTTTTATAAGTCAAATCGCCTGTGATTCTGAGCCACTAAGATTCTGAATGGATTGCGTGGCGCATCCCGAGAAGGAAGTGATTCAGTGCTCGTCATTCATGTTTTATTACCAGCTTTCCATAAGACGTACTTGTGGCAGTTTGGGGACGGAGCTAGAAGCGTGTCCCATAGTACCGTGCAACAATACCGCTGATACCATCGAACATCGGAGGAGAGGGCGGGGTTGTGTTCGTGGGGATGAGGAGGGAATAGATGTGGCCAGAACATCCACGACTTGTGGACCTTCTTCGTGTTTGAAGCGGTAAGTGTGAAGCTGCAACAACAGATTTCCTCCCCTTTGCAATGAGCACGCCAAGGCAATCATGCAGGAACTTTCGAACGACATTTAGCGCAATGCTTCGTTTTTTGCGAGAAAGTCCCCTTTGTGCACTGTTTCACACCACGGGTAGCTATTCGATACTCAGAGAAGTTCTCCTTTCGAGTTAAATAGCAGGCCCCTTAATAGTAGTGTTGTTGGCACTTTCGTGACTAAAAGTGCACATCCGGGGGGGCACGCCTTCGCTTGACCGCTGCGACCGCTTCCATTCTCATGCATCTGCCCTATCGCGTGCGACGTGCGGTCTCACGTTTTCCTCCTCGAGCGCTGTGTATCTCCGTTGTTCCATGGTCAACCACACGAAAAAGTTCGTGTTTTTCATGACCCTTCCTGCTTATGCCCCCATTAACGTTCCTCTTTGCAAATGTCTAATTTTCGAACATGATGGCACACCAGTTCGATCGCGACGCTGCTATGGACTGAAGATAGATAAATTAAGTTTTACAGTGCAATTTAGCATGGCAACAGCCGTGTCAAATCATGTTCAGTCACGAAAAAACTATTGGAATTCGTTCTCAAGATCGCTCGAGAAAATTAATGCTCATCATGTGGTGCATTTATGCACGTAGTGGTAAAATCACATATTTATTATGAATTCTGGTTGAGTTTTCACTGACAGGAGACCGCAGGATCGTCAATATTCCCACCCAAAGTTACACTTCACATTAGAAACTGGAATCATGCTGCATAAGAAACTGCAGCGCGTCACGGTACAGGCTAACCACGAAATGATCCGCCCAAACAAAATGAGATAGTTTAGCGTTATGTCTTGTTCCCATTCGGGCTTCCTATACTACTTCCGGACCTTTTGTGCACAGGCTAGAGCTTACATGATGTAGGTCTCAGTGGCAGGGTGAGGACAAAGTGCAGCCCAGCCGAACCGTGGAGCAAAACTTTGAAGGATAAGGGCATGTTTAAATGCACCTTCCACGATCAAACTGGTAGCTACTTAGCTCAATAATAAAAGTATGGTTAAAAAAGCGAAGGGAATCGTAACTGAGGAAAACGAGGAACAACTAAAATCGCGGATCCTCTTTTGTGATGTGTACAGTGCTGCGATGAGGAGACACTGGGCGCCAAGGAGAGAGGACAGACGAGCAAGTTGAGCGAGTTATGATGCACGCCGTATCAACTGCACCCACTTACAGTCGAGTTAGAAAGCTCTAGCTCCCTTGTCGCGTAGTTTAAGCAGCGGGAGCGGCATATTGTCTAACTTTGCGAACAGCACTACACTACTCACGTAAGGGCATGATTCATCCAACTGAAATGGGGTCTGCTGTGCTAGCAATGGTGTGAGAGGCTGGAAGCTAATTAAGAGCTCCACAGCTTACGAATCGAATAAATCTTTGGGAGGTTTTCAACCGGCCTCTTCTTTTGCTGATTTTTGGAGACGCCATGAGGTGGAACTTGAAAACTGGGCTTTTTGTATCGATTGAAATTTGTCTTAGTTTTAAACCAAAGTCAGGGTCCTATCCTATTCTTTTCGTACCCACTGATAAAACCTTATTTTTGCTAATACAAAATTACTATTTACCCCTAAATGGGAACTGAGAGACAGAATGGAGATATGTTGATCTAATAAACCACGATGAACAAAACCATTACAGATGTAGTGGAGCTAAGAAAAGTAGAAAACAAAAAAAGCAAAAGAAAACAAAACAAAAATATGCTTGCATCGAGGTGTCGAGAAAGTACTGTGCTCATCAGAATGGCGAATTTTCAGAGGGTATCACAGGAAGTTAGTACTGAGAGCCATACTAATGACGAAACCACTCATCTTACGAAGGAAAGCAATAAAAGGGCTATCTATCAAGAATCAACTGGAACTCAGCAACAAGTCACGTCATTTGCGGAACCAAGCTGAGGATGTCATAGTGCTGCCGTCACGTTCCACTAGACCCGAGCGCTGAACGTTTTTTTTTCTTCAAACAGTGTAAAGGAATCATCCATCACAAACCCTTCATTGATTACCTTCATTCTCCTGATTGAGCCTGAATGGAAACATTCGGATTGCTATAAGGGCATGTACATATTCCTATAAAACACCTTCTTGTGAATGGGGCAGATAGCCCCGATCCCGTTGTTGTAAGGAAATGAGGAGCTGAGTAACAGGCAGAGATCTGCTGCTGGGCGAGGAGCAGCGGATTCATTTCGTAATTCGCTGGCTAAGTGAACGAAAGCTGCAAATAGATTGAGCTCTTGAAAGTCCAATGAGAACTGGATGGTGAAGTCGGACATTGAAGTTTCATAGTAAAGGGTTTTTTGTATATAGCTCCTTGCATATGTTACGAGAAACAAAGAACTCCTTAATTTCTTGCCTAGCTTAGGCTCATTATCGGCATTCGCTCCTCACCAACGTCTACCTACTGTGGTTTGTGTGGTAGAGATAAAAACACCACCTTTCATCATTGCTCAACACGTTCGGTGCTTTTCCACTCGACATGAACCACGATACACGATGTTTTAAATTCACCCAGGTCTGGGAAATCCTCTTCCACTTGTTATCACACAGCGGGTGTGATGTGTGGTTCTCGGAAGGAGCAGGTATTCGATCCGAGTACTCGTCATCTTCGACGCGCCAGCCTACGCTAAGTACTTCTGGAACCGAATCACTATCTCGCTGGAGGTCATTCTTTGGTGCAGAGTAGCAGTGATGCTGTGGTGGGCGTTTACGACATATGTTAGGGTAGATCCGTAGAATAGACGCGTGCGGACAGCGTTGCGGTCCTTGTGGCCCAGCTGTGACTGCGGATCGGAATACGATTCAGATATGATCAGCGCAAAATCTATTCCGAGTAATCCTCAGCGATACCGAAACTGCTTGAAACGGTAACCAGAACTGGCAAAAAAAAACTCATAAAAAACTTGCGGCACATTTCAGCAGTTACGGTGTTATCTCCACTCCTGATTTCATTACGCAACGCAAAGAAAGGAAACCACGGAATGGCTTCCTACCACGCGGTCACTTTAATGCGCACTTTTCAGCGTCTACTGCTCGTCGATCCCGAAAAGTACGAAAACAACATTTTGCGACAGAATCGGCAGCATGAGAGGCAGTTTTCATTTGATGCCGCATTTGGACCAAATTCATCGCAAGTGAGTTGAACATTTGTAGCTGTCATCCTTTTTTGAGAACTGCAAAAATCCGCTTCGAAGGTGGTGGTAAGGGCGTGGAAGAAAGGAATCTTAGACGGCGCGGACGCGAGCGTGCGCTATTGACGTCATTGCTGGACCAAGAGCGGGAGCGGTGGATGTCCCCCAAGAGGCCCATCGCGTGGCAAAGGAAGAGAAGCAGACGCGGCAGAGGACGAGTCGCTGCGCATACTGTAGCGGCTAGGCGTCGGGTTAAGCAAAGTGTACCATACTACGTCTCATATCGCACAGCACGCGCTGCGACTCGTCCTTTGCCGCGTCTGTGTCTCTTTCTTCGCCGCGCGATGGGCCTCTTGGGGGACACTCTAGAGCGGTGGGAGGACAAGCACTGGCCAGAACCGCTACCACCAATGATGACGGGGTTGCTGGCACCTCACCCACTTGTACACCACTCTATTCAGTTGTGCCAGGACTGAAATGATTGTACGAGCTCACGTTAGAGAGCTGTTCTTTTTGTGAAGTAAATTGCCTTGCGTAACAGCCCTGCAAACCATGTCTTACCATTATTTAACCCACGGCAGACTTAACTACGGTAATTGTTCCCTGTGGGTAGCGTATTGAAACTTGCAGTACCGTGTTCATTGCCTGGCCATCGTTGCGCCAGCCGCCGCTGTGACGTCACCAGTAGGCGCGCGCCTTCGCACCGAGCTTGCGAGCTTTTCCTGTGGCCATTAGTGAATGAACAATTCATTTTGAGCACTATACATGACTAGCCGAAATTTAGGTGGACATTCACGAAGCGACGACTTCTCCACTTATAGACTGTGTAGTAGCCGGATATAACGCCACAGTATTCGCTTATGGAGCAACAGGTCAGTTCGTTCTTTGTGAAGTCAAATACTGTGAGGAGATGCAGCAAACGGTGGGGGCATTTAAAGGCACGCTCACCTGTTTCATAACCAAGCGTAGTGACAGACGGACTGGCGTTAATGTCGCGCTCCTTTTGCGGCTTGAAAGTGCGCGACAAAGGCGCAAGAAGCTTGCTCGGTCCGCCATCCACTCCTTCGTTCGCAAGCCCCGCCTTCTGCTGTCGGCTGCCACGTGGCGCTGCTTGGAAAACGCGGATGCAGTTGCGGCAGCGATTGCATTGCGTTTCATTGTCATTTGCACTGGAGCAACTGGAGCTAGGTTCGTGAAACTCGTCCAACACGCCTCTTCTCTATCTCAAGGTGGAATGCGGTTGAAATAGAGGGCGTCCTTATTCGGGCCCTCTTCCTTTCTTCTTCTTTTCCAGATCACTTCCCACCTCCAACCTCGTTAGGGGACCCTCTTCCTCACCTATTTCATCTCGAAGCTTGCCTTTGAAGGAGTGGCGGACTTTTGAAAGACACGACAGAAAGGAATTTTCTGAGAAGCCGGAAATTTTTGCGAAATCCGAAGAGCTTCTCATAATTTCCGCCATTTTTACTAGTTTTCCTCTTCTAACTCGTACATATCGACACAAGACGATCTTCTATGGCTTCTAGGAGTGGGCTTGGAAGCAGGGTCAACCCTACGTTGTTACCAGTAACAACGGGGGGGGGTCGTACCTGGTTGAGTTTATAGGAGGGGGGGGATCGTATCGGCTTCAGTCTCGTGAAAGTACATGTGAGTTTGAGGTGAAACTGAAATTCTTATGGGTAGGTAGGCTAGGTGAGTTGGGAGCGCACGGGAGAAAAATTCGCCGTTTCAGCGCGCGTATCCCCCCCTGCTCGACGGCTTTTGGAGGAAAAAGTGGGCGGCGTTTGGTGGGTTGAGTGGTACCAGAATTAAATACTATAAAGAGGAATATGGTGGTGGAGGGTCGAAAAGGTGGTCGTATCAAGTTCACCTTGGGGAAGGAGGTCGTAAAATTTTTTGAAAAAGTAACAACGATAGGACTGACCCTGGTTGGAAGTGTGTTAATAGGTAATTTTAACGGCACTATCCACACCGTCAACCATAAGACGTGTGGGGGGGGGAATCAAAATTTTTGAAATTTTCGCGCCACGGTCGACTCTGGTGCAACTTCATTAGACGTACTGAAGCTGATAAACCAAGACAACGTTTTCCAGGATCCGGTAAGACGTTCACAATGATAGGTACAAAAGAACGACCTGGACTGATGAGCCTGCTAACTCAAAGTCTATACCAGAAAATCAGCATGGATCAGTACCAAGTGCAGTTATCGTATCTGGTAAGCTTCTGCTAAAAGCAGTGATCACTACGGCTGGACTGCAGAGCGGTAATATACACATCATTGAACTTCATTGGTGAAACAACAATTTGGGGTCTATTCCAGTTAGGGGGGGCATCATGGTGGCGTACTTCCCAAAAACGCTAACGGTAGCTCTGAGCCAGGGGAGTGTAGCAGCCTAGGGGGGGGGTAGGGCAGTCACTTGACATGCGTGAGAAGCTGGAATGTTCGAGTTTACATTAGCTCGCCGAGAAACTGCATCATGATGCCCCCCCCCCCCTCTAACTGGAATAGACCCCAAATTGTTGTTCCACCAATGAAGTTCAGCGACGTCATCAAAACCGCACCGCACTCCTTTATCATAATCACTACTTTTCTTAAATCTTGTTACATAAATAACAAAAAAACCCATGGGAAAATTCCCATGATATTTGTGTTATGGCAGTCCTTATGCGTTTTAGAGAACTAGTAGGCCTACCACAAGAGGATCCGCTCTGAAACTTTAACAGTAATAGCTCATTTTCTAGTCATTTACAGTCATCAGATGAGCTGGTTCTTATGTGATACTAGTATGTAAAATCTGCGAACTAATGAGGGCAATATTCACGGTGAAAATTCGTTGAGGCTTAGTGTCGACTTTTTTTGGTGTGTCCCAGGCTTGGTTATGGCTGCTGTTGCTTCTCATATAACCTGTTCAAAGCGGTAAAAAGAACGATCATATAACGCCACGGTATTCGCATTTGGAGCAACTGGTCAGTTCGTTCTCTGTGAAGTCACGTACAGTGGGGAGGTGCAACAGTGCAACAGGGGAGGGGGGCATTTTCAAAAAAGACACGACAAAAACAGATTTTTCGGGAACTGGTAAATTTTTGTGCCAGAGAACTCTAATAATTTTCGCAATTTTTAGTAATTCCTTTTTTAGCAATCGTATATTATCTACGACCGACGATCTTGAGGTATTACTAGTGAAGTCATTAGCAGCCCCATCTTGGTTTTGATAGTTTAAAAAGATTTATGCCAGCTGTGTTGTATTCTTCGCAATCGTTATATTTGCAAATGTTAAAGCAACAGTTCAGGAACGGTTTCGCGGGAAAAAACCACCAATAATGAAGTTGTAGATGAAAACCAGACGATTAATGTATGAAAAACTGGAAAAAAACGTCGGGGAGGGTCTTAGACAGGTACTCTCCCTCTGCCGCTCAGCAATGGATAAAGACGCACATTGACGAGCTGTCTGAACGTGCCCGCTGTAAACGCGCTTCATTTTTCAATTTTCGCTGTGGTCCCAAAACGAGCACGATGGCCGATGACGGCCGGCAAGGGGGCGGGATTGGGGAAATCCCCAAGAACACCCATGTTTGAGGGACTTTCCACCCTGTTTTTGAGTTTCTCAGGTAAGTTCGTTTATTATTTCCACTGCATATGTTCTTCACTAAGGCTCGTGTATCCCTCAGTAGTAGTGGCATTGAAATTTTCGGACCCTCCCTGAACTGTTGCTTTAACTCCCGTCAGGTAGAAGTCCAATGTTCCCGTTCAGTGCTGGGAGGGGTTTGTTAGATGGGTTGGTTTCGTGGGATGAGATATCATTTTGGGATACCCTGGCTTCGGCGCTTTTTATTGCTGATGTCGTAGAGAGTGTACAATAGCGATCGTGGAAAATTCCTTCCTCAAACTTTCTTAAGGCTGATTCAGAATTCTCTATGTAAAATTGCGTTTCAAACCAGCATCAGAAATCATACTACATATATAATGATAATAGATCAAATAATAAAAATCAAGTAATGAATGATAACAAATCAATATAATCCTTAGTCGAGTTCCATAATCAGACCTGACGCTCAGCAGGATCAGATCGTGGTAAGCTTTGGAAATATAAAATATTGCTAACTTAACTACTCACTTAGTGATTGAACACTGTAAGCATGTCGTTAAGGAAATCTACAACGAAGTGATTCGAGATTTGCTAAGTCCATCCGGAGGAGTCTTGGATTTAATGGAAGACGATAAAGGAAACATCAAAGTGCCAGGACTGTCGACAGTTCGAGCTCCTAACCTTACTCGGGTATGCCTGTCGACTGACATTTGTTTAACTATCAGAGAGTAGCTCCTGTGTTCCTGCTCATTTATATAGGGCTTGCGAGATGGGTAGGTTTCGTGGAATGGAGTTGCATTAGAGGTCACCACTCCATTTGTGAACTTTCTCCCTAAGGAGGTGAAGTCGTAGCAGTGGAATTCTCGCTGTACACAATTCGAAGGTAAAAGAACACGCCGCCGAGTCGCGCTGCCAAAATTCATGGTTTTTGGTCTCAAGACCATTCAATGTTTCGCTCTCGTCTGTGCTCTCTCTTGGCGCACTGCCTACCCCTAAAGGATCTTGCGGAAATTCTTAGCACTGCTTCCTAACTGAATATGTCAGCTGTTGATCATTGGAAATAGCACACAAAGTTTCACGCATGAAGATTGGTTTCTGAAGAGACACAAACGTAAAAAAGTAAACGTTATGGACTCGAGGACTGGAGGCAGAGCCAAGGCGAGGCATGCGAAATTGTAGAACCGGTGTTGCTGTACGTAGCCAGACAACGCACTAGAGGAATCGGGTTAAGTGAGCGCGCATTCGGAGTGGGAGAACAAATTCGATCGATGGAATAGGATGTGAATGCAACGAAGCAGAAGGCCAGAAAGAGCTTCTAGTGAATGCACTCCAAGGACCAAGTTTGAGCATCCTCGTCGCCAGCATTCGTGAAAGACGTCCGTGGGCAATTCGAATGCGTAGCAGCCTTTTCGAGTTTTCGAATTTCTAATCAAAACGAAAGCAATACTTCGGTTCTTTTCACTATTATCGTGGATAATGAGTCTCAAGCCAGCGATTTGTGGCTGAAATAGAATCATGATTTTTCCGCGCAAGATTCCTTTAATCACAACCACCTCAAGCCCATCCTGGAAGCCCTGGAAGTCACTATCTGAAGAAAGGAGAGAAAGAAGGGGTTAAAGGAGCGCATGCGAGAGTAGTAAGTCGACGGATTTGAACGGGTTATACTGATTGCCGCGAATTTTGGAGCATTTGCAGTTGCGGCCTATCGTTGACTTAAAGGCAGTGAACGCGATGAGTGAAAGGCATAGCGATTTGCTGGCGTTATTTGACATGATTGGTGGAAGGACATAGGAAGGTGGTCCCAACCAAGACTCGTCAGCGCAGTGAGGGGTTCACGCCACGACGGGTATTCATGGAGTCATTGAAATAGCTCCACCTTCAAGCCATCATGTTCACTGCCTTTAACCGTTGTAGAGTCCGAAGGAGCAAGTATTTTGTTAAAGTAAACGTATTCACAGATCATGCAAATTCTTCAAGAAGGAAATCTAAGACGAACACAAGAGGCTACTGAAGCGAATAAGACCTCATCGAGAAGTCATGCACTTCTGCAGGTAGAATACCTCATAACTATCTTGTAGGATTTGTTTTCCTTTGCATAGTGTTTGGTAAAATAAGACCTAGTAAACCACCAGAGCTCTGTTACTGTTGTGTTAATGTCCAAAATTTCAGGTTGCTTTATTAAAGAACAATCGGCCTCATTCAAAACTCTTCTTAATTGACTTGGCAGGATCAGAACGGGCATCAAACACGAATGTAAGATCATGCCTTATCAATCGCTTGAAGTTTCAATGAATCTGAGCTCAACAGTAAGGCAAGAGAGTAATGTGCACAATAAGCAGTAGATAGGCATCGTGAAAGAACTAAATTGGGAAACAGAGTAAGTAAAAGAGGTAAAGAAACATGAGTACAAGTACGTTAAGAAGCCGACGGCTATTCACGAAGTAAAGGTGTTAAAGTGAGGTAGCAGTTTTCTGCGCTCTGAAGAGCCCGTCCTGACTGGTGGACGGATTACGCTCGCCAATCACAGCCTCGGATCTTGTGCCTCCGATTCGCGCGCTGTCGCAGGATACGCCATCTATTTGCTTTATCCACCCAATAGGGTTACCTCCCACAAATTGAAACACGACCTTCCTCCAAAACTCCTTAACACACAGTACTCTGTGCCCTGTCATCCCACTTTAGCCCTTTATGGGATTTTGCACTTCCGTTCCTCACATACTACTTTAGCTTTGCACGTGATCAGTGACCCCTTAGCGGCAGGGTCAACCGTTACGTTGGACCGACATTGGACCGACGTTGGACCGACGTTGACCGCTCTCCGCGCCGGCATTCGCACTCGCTTTGCGCGAGCCGTCTGTGTCTCCGTGCGTACGTTCACTCTCGGCATTACTCTCACACGCTAGAGAGCCATGCGTTGGACTTTGTCCAACGGACGGTTGACCCTGCTTAGCGGTCACTCGCCATTTTTCAATTTCACTCAACTGTGATTTTTCTTCGTTCGAGAGAAAGGGTGTGAAATATTCAGAACAAAATGATTACTTGTTTTTGTATGTTAACTGCTGTTTTTGGCCGCAGTTCGCCTTTCGAAAAAATGATTACTTATTTGCAGAATCGCGGGCAACGTCTGAAAGAAGGTGCATCCATCAATAGATCACTGCTAGCACTTGGCAATGTAATTAATTCGCTTTCATCAAGTGCGTTTCTATTTTGCTTCACACATTTATCATGCCTTCTGGT